AGATGGAGTGAACGACGACGAAGGCGATGACGACGACGACGACGTCGAAGGTGAACGTGGTAACACCAGGATGGCGTTCGAACGTCTGGCGAACAAGACGAGAGCTCTCTCTCTCTCTCCTCGACTACGGATAACTGCCGGAGAGGAGGACTCAAATGTGAAACACGACCGACTTCGACGACGAGCAGCGACAAACGAGGATGCGCTCGAGCGCGTAGCCTGTGCCGCACTCTCAGTCTATCCCCACTACCAGTTACGATCGGCATCCGGTGGTAACTGTGGCGCGCATTCGCGAGCATTTCTGCTCGTTGATTGGTGCACAGCCGTTGCTACTTGGCCTACCATTGGCCGATTGCACACCACGAATTCCCGCGGCGTTCACTATCCATGGGACGCACAACTACAGACACGTAGGAAGCACACGAGGCCACTCTTGATCTCACACAACGATATTCAGAGCCGAGGACACCGCGTTCACATACAGCGCACACATTCCCGTGCACAAATGTCCCTATATAACATGTATCTGTACATGCGCGCGTGCGCGTGTATGTACGGTTGCTACTCGCGAGCTTTTGTGCGCACACGTTATACACGCCACGTCGAAGTATCTCTGTGTATGTGTGTGTTGGAAGATTCCACACGCCCGCGCTTCGCTACGGTCGTATGACGGTCGAACAGGAACTGGCCACAACCCGCGCGGAAACGCGCTACTTATGCCGCCGGTGGGAAGAAAACTGACGAATCAAGACAGCCTTTGGACTCGATGCTACAGGTCCAAAGGGCCATCCTGCTGGTGTGCGCTTCTCAAATGCGACACACGGGGGATGGATGTCAGCCAGCCAATCAACCCCTCTTGCTGCTATGCGCAAAACCCATGATAAATATGCTGTGTATATAGCGTCTCGAATGTGAGTTTATATCTTTCGCTGGGTACACCAGTAGCCCACTCGAACATTCTGGCAAAAATAATCAGGCTATTGTTCTACTATTGCTACTTACGTTCAGATCGCCGCCGAACCTTTGACCCATTTTTCTATCGATCCTCCACGTTTTCGCATATAGGGCGGCCCCGCGACCATCGGGATTCGTCTCTCCAGATAGTCCAACTTCCGCGGTGACCTCGTATTCCACCCGAGCACATAATTCCTCGTCCGTTCGCATTCTCCTTCGTTCTTTACCTTTTTAAATCCAATGTAAAATCGTCGACTGTGCAACTCGTAGACCAATTTCGGTGATCTACGTAACGATTGGACGACTCGCACGATCGTCGCGGTTACGTAATCGCGTGATGTTCCTCGAAATCGTTCGAATCATTACCGACCTCGCCGACTGTTTCTCTCTCTCTCTCTCTGGTTCGTTCGAAACGCGAAATATCGAGGACTGTGAAATAATGCCTATACGAGCGGAACGTCGACCTACCCGCTTGTAGGAAGAGAAAAATGGCGATCACACGTTGCACAACGAACACGTAAAATTCCAACGGAATGAACGAAACGATCAACCGACGTTTCGGAACGGAGAGAAGGAAGGGTCGGAAAAAAAATATTGAAATCGAAACGATCGTTGCGATCGAAGTAATAAACGCGAAAGAACGGTGCTGCGCGTATAGCGGTTAGTCGATTAACGAAGCTAGTGCAGCGCAGGGGGGGGCACGGGGAAGGGAAGGGGGTGGTGGCTCGATGGAACATTGGAACTCGACTTGGTCGTCCTATTTCTACGCTCGGGAAGGTTCGTGCGGTGAGCCGATCGCGCACGAAGCAACGGGAATATAAGTAGGTCGCTTCAAGACGCACGTGTCGTCCTTGACTCACATAGTGTGGCGCGCAGGCGCTCACCGTTGCCGCATTGCTGGTCGCTAGGGCTTTTTCTTTGTTCCTCTTCGCGCGCGCGCACCTATATATGTGTCTGTCTGTGTGTATGTGTGCAAACGCGCGCAGGAACACACCACACCAACGCTCGCTCCCTCACGAAGCGGCACAGTGTGTGTGTGCGCGCGCGGCTGTGTGTGCACGCGTGTGAGTATTGCTCGCACGCACCTCGCCGTGTGCACTCTGCAAAATGAGCTAGCAGCCGCGTGCGCGTAATCTATCTATCGCGAAACCTAATGTTCTCTACACTCTGATCGACTCTATGCTTCTTGTATATTTACTCGTGTAGATTAATCGTTTCCGGTAGTACGTGTTACTTTTTTCTACACGTTAAACCTGTTTAACCCTTCATTAGATACCCGGTACAAAATGACGTAACTACATATTGTACGTGGGGTATACTCGGTACCCCACATAAATTTTTATCGTTCTTTTGCATAATACCATTCCTCAATAAAACTAGCACTGAACAACTTCATAAACGATAATAAACATTTAGAATTTATTTTTCATATATGTATATTACTTCACTCGTTATCCCCTTACAGGAAACGTCGTTTTTGTTTTCGTAACGAGTTAAACAGCGTAGCTAAGCAATCTAACAAAATATCCCAGAAATAACAGAACCAGGGTGTACTGAGAAGATCTCGCGTACCTAATTAAAGTTACAAAAAGAAGAAAAGACCCGTTAACTACTAGGTGTACAACGACCGTAACATTTATCGTAAAGAAACAAGTTGTTTCGTTTGACACAACGAGGCTCTCACTCTTACGTAACATAAGTAGCTTCTGTATTTTGACGTTAGCAAGTGTGTATGTATATCTCGGGTGAGAAAAGGTTTAGAAAGCAAGAGCGCGTTACGGGGAGAGTCTCGTTGCCGGTCGAGGAAATCGTGTGTGTACTTGCACACAGGCGGATTCTTTCTCTCGGGAGAGAGAGAGAAAAAAAAGGATTAAGGTTCGAATAATCTCGCGTTTTCATCGAGCACACGTAGATGGATTCCTTGGATGGGTGATGGCGATAGGCCTGCGGTGAGGAGGTCGAGAGAGACAACGAGAAGGCGGCGCGCGCGTTGTGCAACTCTCAAGGAGAATGAGCGATACGCGTGTCGTGCGTTCCTGCGTGTCCGTCGACGCATACGCGCACGTTCGATGATAATCGACAGAAAGAGAAAGGTCATCGGGGAACGAAGTGTGTTGGTTCGCTTCCTCTTCCTCGTTGCGATTACTCGAGTAAGTAGGTAAGCGGGTATATCCGAAATTGCGGAGAGTGTGACGCAACGCGCAACTGTACGGGCGAATTCGTGATGTTCACGGACACGCACGTGCCACCGCGCATACACCTCTGTAGCGCCACTGTATAGGTAAAGTATTGGATATGCCGGCGGAAGCACGATACATACATACTGTACCGCATCGGGCCACGTTTTTCCTGCAGTGCATTTGCGATACCTTCGAAATATTAATCGTCTATTAATACGTTGCTATCTTAGTGGACATTTCACGTGGTATTTTTAATCTGAGAAATTACACACAGTTCTTCACGAGTGTTAACATACGTAGAAGCTGTGGAGAAAATTACTGGTGGAAAGTAAGTGTGTGGTACATGAGGTACAGATCTGAGACATTCGAACAGAGTGCATTAGTAATGTGTGTCGATGTGTAGGCACTTTTTGAAATTCTTCCAATTTTAGTATCGAAGCACATGATTGGTGCTTAACTCTTCAAAAATAAAAAAATTGTATACTTTGTTAAAATTCTAAAATTCTAAAATTACAAAATTACAAAATTCTAAAATTACAAAATTCTAAAGTTATATACTTGAATAAATTTAATTTGCTGGAGTAGTCACTCTGGCTTCTCAGTGTCTCCTATAAAAGTTCCCATTCCGTGTTTATATATTTTTCTCCGAAATTGTATAGCCGCTACGCGATTGTAGGGGATTGAATTGCGTTTGATGGCAGATAGCGAGAGGCCTGTCGTGAGAGAGCAAAGACTTCGTCACTATAGCCAAGGACAGTGACGCTTCCCGAAGAGAGAGACCTGTACGAAGTCGGTAGTTCGCGCTGGCTTTGGCATCGTGAGTATTGATCGCAACGGGAACTCAAAGGGGAGGCTACCACGTTAGGCTATTCGAACCCCAATTGGATCGACCTACCTCCTGGCATGGAACGGAAGGGGGGCACAAGCCACTGCGGCCTATTTCTTACCGTATCGGTCTTTGGCAACGAGAAACGTTACTATATTTTTAATTCGCCTCTTATACGAGTGGAAAATATCGAGTGACTCTCTCTCTCTCTCTCTCTCTCTGGAATCGCAGCATCCTTACCGAGTTTCGCTCCAGACGAGTATATTTAAGTGAAATTAAACGGAGAATTTCAGATCGCGACCGAGTGTCGTCACAAAAGTCAGACCTTGGACGTTAATTTCCTCCGAGCAGGGAAACAAACGATAGCAGTGACCTAATTTTCTCGTTAAATGGAAGATTTCATGTAATTCTTGTCGGCTCTTTTGGCCGCGTTGCGAGTATAATTGGCGCGAACTCGTGTGAATTTCGCGGCCGAGACTCCTTTGCTCGCTTCGATCAACGCTCGACACGTTGTCGTGCGTGATCGTTGCATAACGCGATTCTTTAACAGCAATACGTCGCCGTGAAATAATGAAACAGTCGAGGTAAATGAGACGAGAACAAATATCAGAGATTACCTACGTTTGATAAGTACGTGTGTCAGTGCTTCTACATTTACCTGCTACACGAATCAATTTTACTATCTGCTTACTTCTCTCCTCGCTATTCTTACACTCGAGTATTTATTACAAAACAAGCAACGTTACCACGAACGATCTCTCGTTATTTAAAGGATATTTCCAGTCGACCGTTAGTTGAAAACGCGTGGTACGTGTAAAACAAGCCTTCGCTAGCGAACGCAAGAAACGTACGAGAACCGCGATTCATCGGTTTACAACGGGCAGTTGAAAAGTTCGCGTCGCGAGGGACATACATATGTGCGTATATACCATGTGCGATTTAACGCGCATACTTTTCCGTCGTTCGAGGTGGCTCGCACGCTAGCGTTCCTTAGATAAGCACGTTCTTATCTGCGTACGTACTTACGTAAGCAACGGCTCGTGTAAGCTTTGCTCGGCTTCGCACCCCTTTTTCTCTTCCGTCCTCCAGTCGCCGTTCCGCACAACTCTTTCTTCTTCCTTTCCTTCGCCGCTTTGTTTTTTCCTGCTTTCCCTTTTTCGCGCTCACCTCTGGCCTCCGCCGCGCGACCGTTCCCACCACTCTCTAGAATCGTATTTCACTTTAAAATGCGACTTCCTCCTCTCCTGCCCGAGTCCTTTGCGCGCCTCAGCTTTTTCACCCCTTTGCAGCTTCGCCCTCCTCGACGTTTCCACCCCTGTTTACGCTATCTCTCTGCCTGTCTGTCTGCTCCCGTTTTTCCGGCTGATCGATCGCCGGTGAAAATTCACGTCGCGATTCACGGAGAGCCGGCTTCTGGAAAAATTCGAGGAGACCAGGCACGATTAGCGTGAATCTGTCGAGCGCGTCAAGACAGTCACGTGGAGTAGACGCGTGATAGAGAACAGACGAAAGATACGAGGCGGCGTGAGTTCACTGTGAAACGGTAAGGAAACGTTACTCGCGGTCTAACTTCGCGTCTCTCTTTAATTACCGCCAACGGTGTTATCTTTCGTTAGCAAAAGTACGTTGAAACAATGTGAAAATGCAATTTCTCCGAGAAACAATCAACGCGCGAGCAAGACTAATTCGAATTGAAATTGAATTTAAAGACACTCGGTAGAGCGTGTGTGTCACTAGCATCGAGCGAACGAAACAGAGAAAGAGAGATACGGATTAAAAGGACACCGTTATCGAGCGTGACATCGATTGACCCGTTCTAATTACAATATTCTTACGCGTAAAATCACGCGTTACGAA